TTCCATGCAAGAATCGAACCCAAGCCGTAATGGTCTAAGCTATCGAGTAAGGACTTCACTTATTTATTATAATATATTATTAATTATTTATATTTTTTAAATTTTTTTTGTTATTAAATCCCGTTATTAAATATACTCTAAAGTTTTTGAAAATTAATATACAAAAGACTTGTCGACATATTGACTGACCAACAGGTAATACCTGTTGGTCAGTCAGTTGGTCAGTACCTGACCACTAATTCGGCTTTCGCACATTGTTCGCACACAATTGCACAGAGTTACAGTCTACGTTTCTGGAGCTTCAGAACAAAAACTGTATGCAACTGGTGTATTTTTGAATGTTGCTCAGGAGTTTGATAGAGTCTGGCACCAGGATCTTCTCTTTAAACTTAAGACTATACTTCCATACACGTACTATGTTATTCTTCAATCTTTCCTCTTCGACAGATTTTTATCAGTTAGGCAGGGCTCTTAAATGTCTTCAGTTCGTCCAATCTTGGCAGGAGTTTCCCAAGGTTCAGTATTAGCCCCTCTACTTTACGTTATATACACATACGATTTACCTATTGACGATGAGATCTTGACAGCTACATATGCAGACGATACAACAATTCTCACAAAACATCAAGATCCTACACAGGCATCACTAAGTATACAACACCACTCACTTAAACTAAAAGATTAGTTCAAACTATGGAAAATTCGACTTAATCATGACAAATCCAAACACACAACACTTAATATTCGAAAAAACACCTGTCCTACAGTTTATATTGACAACAATCAAATTCCTCAAACGGACGCGGTACTTTACCTTGGACTCACCTTCGACAGAAGGATGACATGGGACCCACTTGTTAATATTTGCAAAATCTTCAAAACTAAAACTAAAACAGAAACTGAATACATATACATACTTACTTAAAGCCATATGGACGTACTCATCACAAATATACGGAATCGCTAAAAAGACCCACCTACAAAAACTTCAAACGTTCTAATAAAAATTATTGCGACTCATAACAAAAGCACCTTGGTACGTGACTAACAAAACTCTACATACTGACCTCCACTTTCCAACAGTTGACCAACATATAACGACCCTTTATCAACGATTTTACATAAATTTAAATGGAGATAATAACAGACTTATAAGAGACATGGCCACAGCTAACATACTTCAGAACATGAGGAGGAGACTGAAAAGGCGTTGAGAGATCTCCTTCCTTAAGCAACCCAAGTAATTGGAACAAGTTAGGGAACTGGTGAGACTTTCCTTCCCCATGCCTGTTATGTAATTATTTCATGTATCGCAATCACATTTGCTGATTGTCAATAAGAAGTTGACAGGCGCAAATACATTTTTACAGACAAAAAATTATTATTAATTATTTATATTTTTTATCTTGTTTGTTATTAAATCTCACGAACGAGAACTCGCAGCATAAAATTTTTGCAGACACCTTAACTCGTACCGCGGTTCCGGCCGTAAAAAATTGTAAGTTATTTTATATTATTATTATTATTATTATTGGAAAGTAGGAATATATTTACATGAAATTAGTACTTGTGAGTGAAGTAGAATTTATCCGGCCCGGCCTTCGCGTGTACTCTCTTTAATCACGCTACTGTCCTCAGCCGCGTGCCCCAGTTAACTTAGAGGGTCGTTCAACGACCTGGCTCGAACATCAATGGTATTTAGTGTTTGAGTTGTATTGGATTTCGTTTAAGGAAGAATAAAGTGGCATGTAAGTCAAAGACCTTTAAGAAACCCCATGCTATTTAAATATATGTATAAAGAGTAGCTTAATATATGTGGTAGTGGACGTTGCTCAGACTATCGGTGTGTCCCTGGCCTGATCGAAGCTCTATTTTTTTAAATTCTTGCTTTGAAGACTATCCCATAGTTGACTTATAAAATGAAAATACCGAAACGTCAATAAACATAGAAGAAATGAACATTCAATAGTTTATTAAATAATTAATAAGTGACATTATTCATAATTAAATAGTTCAGTTTAAATTTAATATTGAAAGGTCGATTAAGGAAAAGTTGTAAATATATATATATATATATATATATATATATATATATATATATATATATATGTGTGTGTGTGTGTGTGTGTGTGTGTGTGTGTGTGTGTGTGTGTGTGTGTGTGTGTGTGTGTGTGTGTGTGTGTGTGTGTGTGTGTGTGTGTGTGTGTGTGTGTGTGTGTATACACTGACAGGCAAAAAATTCCACCCACTTGATTTTTCATGTTTTCATCTAAACATATTTCTGCTTTGGATTGGTCTATTGTTTTTAATGAATAAATAGGTAGTATTTTTGCTTGTTTTCAATTAGAAATGTTAATATAGAGGACAAAAACCCTTAATCTTTAATTCAATGAAATGATTCTAGATTCCAATATTTACTTTCTATCGAATTAAAATGTTTATTCAGTATCATTAGTTCAGTGCCGTTTCTTGCAGCACATTTCTTAGTCTCCGGCTTTTAATTTTTTTCAATATTAAGTTTAAAAATGTTTCACTGAGGATGTTTCGCGTGGTGTGGCACTTATTGATGGTGGGCGTTCCATTAGATATCCAGCTAACACCATTACGTAGAGTTCCATATGAAACTTTACGAGACTCCGTCCGGTGTTTTCGGGAAACTGGTTCCTACAATAGAAGGCCCAGTTCTGGACGGCCTAGGGTCACAGAACCACGGGATGACCGGTTTTTTACTTTGAGAATTTTACGAAACCGGCACCTTACCGTTGTTCAAGCGATTCATCAGCTCGAAGAAGTTCAGGGTGTGCAAATTTCTGAACGTACCGCTCGGAGAAGATTAAATGAATATGGATTATTGGCTTTTCGTCCAGTAAGAGGACCAGAGTTGACCAGAACTCACAGAGTAACACGGCTGGCTTTTGCTCGGGAACACAGCTATTGGACTATGGACGAATGGAGTGCTGAACTTTTTACAGATGAGTTAAGATTCGCTCTTCGATCTCCAAAGGGCGTGAAAGGGTGTGGAGAAGAAGAAACGAAAGATATGCAGCCTGTAATTTTTCCCAGAGTCAACTTTTTCAACGTGGTTCCTTAATGGTGTGGGCTGGGATTTCAATGGAGCGCCGCACAGAATTGGTTGTTGTTCTTGGAGGGTCTTTGACGGCCATTCGCAATGTACGGGCCATTCCAACTGGTGGAAAGTATGCCGAGGCGTCTTCAAGAAGTAGTGAAGGCAAGAGGAGGAAACACGCGCTCCTAAACGATGATGAGATTAATTTCTTTTAGAATAATAATGGTTCGTTTTTCAATTTTTTTTTTATCTAATCTTTCTTACCCAATCAAATTTTGATTAATTAAGGTAAAAAAGATTGTAAAATTCCATAAATACTAAGTATTATCTACAAATACCATGAATTATATACAAATACAACTTTTTTTACAAGTGGGTGGAATTTTCTGCCTGACAGTATATATACATTTTTGGCTATTATTTTAAAACTTGATTAGACCGGAAATAAGAGGAAGAATCATGACAGGCAATAGGGCCTATTTTATTCTGTTAATGATGTTTTAATCGCCTATCCAGAGTCACAAAACTCAAAGTTTACAAACCTTACAATAATTATAAGACTAGTTTTTGGTCTCCTCTGCATAGAATAGAACAGAATAGAAAATAAAATTTATTCTGGGACGAGATCCCTTAGGAATAAGAATTATGGACCAAAAATAAAAAATACATCTGGACAAAAATTATATCAATCAAAATTAAAAAAAATTATACAATATCTTCAGTGAAAGTATATTAAAAAAAATAAAAAAGTAATACCATTTTGAAAAAACAAACATTATTAAAATGAACAGAAAAACATAAATTAGGTGAAATAAGAAACAAAATGTTATAGGCACTATGGGTTGATTGTTGAAATTAAAAACTATTCACCTCAGTCAAAATTTGATTCATGATATTTATTTCATTGTACAACTTCATTTTGGATGTGAGAAGGAATTGGTAGAGATGATATTTGAATGAGGGCAAGGAAGAGGTATGGCGGATATCAGATGGCAAGGAATTCCAGAAGGCAGTGGATCGGGCAATAAAGGAATATTCAAATGTCTTAGTTCTATGGAAAGGGATATAAGTGGACCACGGGTTTGAACAGTAGGAGACTGTAAATGTAGAAAGGGTGTCGGGTATTGAGTGAACAACTGTTGGAAGATGGAGGTCAGTATGTAGAGTTTTGTTAGACACGTACCAAGGTGCTTTTGTTAGGCTCAAAAATTTTGATTGGAACGTTTGAAGTTTTTGTAGGTATATCTTTTTAGCGATGCCGTATATTTCCGATGAGTATGTACACATCGATTTAAGTAAGTATGTATATATATTCCGTTTCTGTCTAAGTTTCAGTTTTGATGAAATAGAAAAAAGAAGGCAAAGTAATTTGGAGTCGTTTGTTAAACGCCTTAAGTTTCATTTTGGCATACGAGCCCAATGTCGGAAGGATAGTAAACCCAATTTAAAGTACCGTGTCGGTTTGAGGGATTTGTCTGCATAAGTAGCTAGTCAATATAGTCATTATAGTCAATATCTCATTGTTAAAAGTATATCGTAATACAATGTAAAGTAGAGGGGCCAGTACTTAACCATGGGGAACTCCTGCCAAGATTCGACCAATATTAATGAATATTATTTTCCTATGTTATTAATTTGAAATCGGCCAAAAACTTAGAAATATAATGTCATGGGAGTAATTTTATTAGATTCAGAAAAAAATATAAATAAATAAAATATTAAAAAGAATATCTTGCTCGATATATTCTTTTCGAATCTTATTAGTACCTAAATAAAGGTGATTTCATAGCTTTGAGAAAGGTAATATTTGAAATCTTCTTCTCTAAGTATGCATTCAAACGTTTTAGAGTATTATAGTTGGATATCTGAAGTTCTGTTATTATTAATATATTAAATATAAATAAATTATATACAATTTTGTAGTGAATGGAGAATGTACAAGTTGGAGCTGAATCTTGAGGAACCAGATCGAGTGTACTTCTCCGGCGACGATTTGAAGGGGGAAGTCACGATAAACCTTAAGGCTAAACTTCCAGTTCAGGGTAAGTATATATATGTTTAATGAAATTATTTATAAATTTTTTATATGTTATCTCATCAGAATCATAATATTATAATATAATTGGAAATTAGGACATAAGAGACCTATTTATCAAATTATCTATTTATAGTCTTCCCATTTTTAATGAACATAGTTTAAAGAAAATTGCAAACACTATAGTGTGAATGTTATACTACCTCACTATAACTAATTTCCATGTTACAGATTGTTGTAATACTCAATAAATAAATAAAAACAAAACACTAGCTGGTTTCATATTCTATTATTAAATGTTGGATACGGCGTAGCTTATACACTGCCCGCATTACCGAACAATTTTGCTGGTTTAAAGAATTAGACCAATGGCAGGCTCCAATATTTAACCTTTTAGCCTGTATATAATATTTATACAAAAGGTCTATCATATTTAACTTTTGGCATTTTGTGGAAATAGCCATTTTTCATTTAATTTTATTGTTAGGAGTTACGGATGGATTCTTTTAAGATATTCAATTATCTTAAAATAAGCGGTAAATCTTCCAACGAAACATCAAACCAAGTATCTACAGAGATCATTGTATTTTTCTTCCACCCTCATCATTGGTAGAAAATGTCACTAAAGACTAAATTGCATTTTATTTTTCATCATATCTTCATCCACACTTGTCATAAGTTTGACAAACAGGAAATATCATGTTATTGTTAAGAAAATGACAAAACCTCTTCCTGGTCTTGGTTTACTTCCTTAATTCAGGAAAAAAGATCTCTCATCCAGCTCCTCTTCAGTCGCCTCCTGATAAACAAGTAAGCCGTGACCATGTCGTTAATAAGTCCATTGTGATGTCCATGTAGTTTAATATGAAACCGAGAGTACATATTTATTGATCGATAGTTCGTTGCCGTATGTATGTATGTAAAGTTATTTTATTTAAGTACCAGAGAGCTGCTGTTGTTAGTTTAAAATTTTAGATTGTAATTATTAGTAGTTTTTGTATGTGCACCTTTTTTGTTGAACCATAAATTTATTTATGTTTATATGGGTTTGAGTAGATAAGAGTATGCATTTAGTTTTTGTCTGATTTTTAATTTTAATTTGGAAATAATTGAGCATATTGTTTTCAGTTGCTTGTTTAAAGTCTGTTTTTTTTTATTTTGACGTGTTATCCGCTTGTTATCTTTCTGTCATATATTAATCCAAGATAATGTACATTGTCCGTCTGAGGAATTTGGTTGTCGCCGATATAAAATTGTGGACAAGTAACAACATATATCATCGAAGTATAAATGATATATGTTGTTACTTGTTACTTGTCATTTAATATAATTTTCCAAGTGAGTACCAATTTTGTAAACTTAGTAAATATTTTTTTAAAAATTCAATGAGCCTATTATGGTGTGTTAAAAATTGCTATATCGTTAGTGTAGGAAGCAGTTAATGCTTCTTCACTGCTAGGTATGTCATCTGTTTAATGTCGAATAAAGAAGTCAATATTGCACCTTGAGGTATTCTTGTCAACATTGGAAAATTCTGAGCATTGTCGGACAAATAAAAAGAAACAAGAAAGAAGGTCGGATAAGAAAGAGTGAAAAATAATATAGTAAATATGCGGTAATACAGTTTTAAGTTCAAAGAGAAATCCTTGGTGCCAGAACTTATTAAATGCCTGGACAACATAGAGAAACATATCAGTTGCATATTGTTTATGCTCTAGTACACCAGAGAAATGAGTTAGTTAGTAATTAATTTAGTTTTTAATTAGAGTAAAAACAAAGTTAGTGACTTTGTGTAATTGATGTTTGAAAGGTTGTACGGGAACCGAATTGATGGTCAAGAATTAATTTTTGTTCCGTCAGTCTCTCTATCAATATTTTGTATATTAATGTTTCGGAAAATTTGTTACGTATTGGAAGGAATTGGTAGGATATATTCATAGTTATTCCTTGTAAACAATTTCAATGTGAAAATAAAACACGATGTAAATAAGTTGGGTAGAAAAATATCGAGTAATACAAAACTGCTGCCACGCTTGTGTTACCTACTTTTAATTTAATAACATACTACGTAGCCAACTTGTACGATGGCATGATAAGATAAGAATCGATCGATGAAATCGATTACAGAGCTGGTAGCAATAGAATAGACCTTCACAAAAACTTGAAATAATGGCTCATTTTGATAATAACAGTGAATATTCAAACAAAGTACCATGTAATATCCAACGTGTAACTGATAGAAAAAAATACTGTTTATATGTTTGTAATGCACAAAAAAATATATATCTTTTATTACGCATTTTTAATTGTGTTTATTTATAATTTTTGTTATATATTTATAAACTCAACTGCCCACAAAGTGATAAATTATTAACCCAACCTTTTATTTTCCAGTCATATACATCTAAAATGAAGTCTCCCTTTTGCTTACAAATACTTGTTAATTCAACAATATACAAATTTGAATCAGAAAATTTGGTTTAAAAAAAAGGAAAATACAGTTACATTATGACTTCAAAATGAATCGAGAAAAGTATTGCATGAGCAAAGTCGTCTATCTTATATAAATTATTTATAAAAAAGAAAAAAAAATCAGAAATATAAATTTAGTACAGCTTAGAGTTTCCTATTCATTGGATTTTCATAATCATTATATTATCAACTATATATAAAAGACGCTTTAGCAGTATTAAAGATCCTTTTTTCCGATTCTCAGGATTCAAAAGAAAGGGAATTTCGTAGAAAATAGAGGCAATTCAATCGTTGATTTAAAACATAATCTGGACACTTACATTTATTTACTTAAACCTAAGGATCTACGCATTACTAATATATGGAACAGCCGAAACGGCCCAACGGAAAACTTTTAAATAAAAAAAAGATTATATCTAAAGCTCTATGGTACAAACATTACGTTACATAAAGATCTTCACATTCCAACAGTTAACGGCCGTTAAGTGGTCACATAAGGTACCACTACAAAATAGGACAAACTACAAAATATTTCAATATAAGTTACATAGCCATACTAATGCACTCGCAAAAGAAATGACTACAACTAATGTGCTCCATAACAACCTTAGGAGACTCAAAAGAAGCTGGATAAGGGATCTCATTGCTTAAAAAGTATATTAAAATCAATGCAGGAAGGAATGCCGCTGGGAATTTCCCTCCCTCACGCTGGCCAACGCTAATACTAGTATTCTTCAAGACAGCAGACTCAATGATTATCAGTAATTCTGAGAGGTGTGGGTGAAGAAATTGAGTTTAAATAAAAGTTAAATAAATTTGAAACAACCACTATTTATCAAAATATATTTTATTAGTTATGTCGAGTTTTTTTAAATATATGTGAGGTCTGTGATGTATTATTTAATGTTTTATTTTATTTTATTGAATATAGATTCATTAGTATTGTTTTAAAGCCTTTGTAAATAGTTTCCTGTATTTCTTCTTCAACCAATATTTATATTACTTCATGGTCTGTGTTTTTAATGTATTTTTTTTATTTTCATATTTTCATCCAAACCTGTCATTAGCTTGACAATAAGCAGGTGTGCTATAAATGATAAGAAAATTGACATTTTAGGCATGAGGAAAAAAATAGTACCCATCAGAACTTCTTGCTGGTCTTGGTTTATTTCCTTAATTCAAGAAATTTGATCTCACATCCAGCTCCTCTTCAGTCGTCTCCTGATGGTCATGTCAGCTGTGGCCATGTTGTTAATAAGTCAGTTGTGATGTTCATGTAGTTTAAGATGAGATCTGGAGTAGATATCACGTATGTGTTGGTCGATAGTTGGTTGTGGTAAGTGGTTATATAAAGTTTTGTTATTTACGTACCAAGGAGCTCCTGTAATATTTCGTAAAATTGCGGATTAATATGTCTGTAGTTTTTGTAAGTACATCATTTTTGCAACCATAAATTCGTGAGGCATATGTCGATATGGGTTTAAGAAGGTAAGTGTATGTATGTTTGTGTCTGATTTTAAATTTTGATTTGGAAAAAATGGAGTATAGAATTTTCAGTAGTTTGTTCAAAGACTTTCGTTTCATTTTGACAAGTGGGCCCCAGGTTACATTAGGTAACATTAGCAAGAGGTAATGTACAGTGTCCGTCTGAGGAATTTGATTGTCTCGGATAAAAACTGGTGGGCACGTGTCTCGTCGAAGTGTAAATGTCATATGTAATAATTTTTCATGATTTCATCTAATTTACCAAAGTGAATAACAATATTACCATAATCTGGAGTTATGGAGTTTTGTTAAAATTGTCGTATCATCAGCGTAGATGGCGGTCTATGTTTCGGAGATGATAGGTATGTCATATATAATGTAGAGTAGAGGAGCCAATATTGATCACTGAGGTTCTCCTGCAGGCACTGGTCGAATTGAGGAAATTTCTAAGCCCTGTCGGATAGAGTTTGATTAAACGAATGATTGCGAACTTTACTGTCTGAAATTGTTAGTTATATAATTGTTATATTTCCTTTAAAAGTAAAATAAATATGACAGAGCACCTCACAGAACTACGGTTCAGCAAAAAAGAAATACTTACAAATTCAATAATCTTATCAAGTGAACATTTTAATGCTTATAACTGAAGATTCTTGGTGCAAAAATAACAAACCTTTACATACCGATATATAACACTTAAGTATCGAATAAAACTTCGATTGTTTGAAGAAGGAGATCTATACAGCTTCTTTTTATTTTTCTTCCCATATTCATGAGTACGTCAGCTCTAGCCATGTTTTCTTATTTAACCATTGTTATATCCCTGTTGAACAAATCCCATACCTAGGACTCTAACTGAAAAAAAAACGTCTAAATTCGAATCCTAATGCTAGATTTAAACGACAAGAAACCGCTCGACGTTTCCGACTACTTCAGAAAATACTAGACAAACGCTCTAATCTTTCAATTAATTACAAAAGACTTATATAAATGACTATAATAAGGCCTATTTAGACTTACGGAGTTGAGCTATGGGGCTCCACCAAACCATTGAATTCCTCTCGTATCCAATCCTTACAATTCAAAACTCTTCGTAAAATCCTCAATGCTCCCTACTTTTTTACAAATAAAACCATCCATGATGAATTTAATGTTTCTGATCTGGCCCAATCCAGATACCTATCATTTCATAATAAACATCTGAACCATCCAAACCCTCTCGTTGCCAACCTTGCTTCCTCTTCAATTCCTGATATCCCTCCGAGACGTCTGAAAAGAAGATGGTCCCGTGATCTCCCAATCTAGACATATCATTAGAATGCTTTGATTGGGTAGTTACTCAGCAAATGTTTTCACGTCATTATATCCATATGTTAAAATTTACTAGATGTATTTCTTTAATACAGTTGTAAATGTCATTGGGAAATAATAAAAAAAAAAGAAGTATTTAAAATCTGTAGGTTATAATACTTATTTATTTTAAAATTTAATAATAATAAATACATAGGTGTAAAAGTGATTTATTTACTTTAATTTCATCTAGCTTTTATCTATTATTTCGTAAAATCCTCAATGCTCCTTTGTTACAAATAAAATCACCCCCAACGAACTTATAGTATGGCCCAATCGAGATACCTATATTCCGTAGCAAACTTCAGAATCATCCTTGACCTTTCGTTTCTATCATTGCTTCGTCTTCGATCCCGATAACCCTCCGAGGCGTCTGAACATAAGATGGCTTAATGATCTTCAAATTTAGATGATTTATTAAATATCTATCAATAGATATATTGTCAACAAATATTGTCATGTCATTGCATTTCTCTGTATCATATTTACTTGATTTATAGATTTATCGATGTATATTTATTTATGGATAGTTGTAAATTTCATGAAAAAAAAAACTGATATTTCGGTATTATATTTATATTATACAATATTTATACAATACACCTATATTTATAAAAGTATTATATTTGTATAAAATCGTTGGTAAAGGGTCGTTAAGTGCGTTGGTGCGTTGATTACTGTTAGTTACGTACCAAGGTGATTTTATTATTAGTAGTAATATGCTTGATCAGGTTTTATGTGTTTTTTAGGCAGGTCATTAATATTCTGGTATTATTTACATTAAAACTTTTCGTAAAAACATTAAGTAATTAAATTTTAATTTTTTTTTTTTGTTTCAGCCATTACAGTCAAGTTTATTGGTGAAGCATGCGTCAGTGTACCTGAGGATGTCGTGGAAGAGAAGGTGAAGCAGAAGCGAAGGACGATCACTAATAAAATGTAAATATTGTATTTTTTTTTTAATTTGTTTATATTTACAGCTTGAAATAACTTGCGAAGTTATATCACGAATTTCATACGTTATGCTTATTTTTCAAATTAATATTAATGAATTGATGGATGAGAGATATCCTCGTACAATTATAAATAATAAAATATAAATAGGAAGACGTGGTGCTGGGAACGCCTGCATCTCAGTATGCCTACGGCCAAGTCTTGGTCTTGCGTACTCCATCTTCCTCTTGGTCTTGGTCATGAGCAAGAGGTACCCCGTATGCCAGAAATGGCCAGGTAGGGGGATAAAAAAAAAAAAAAAAAAAAAAAAGGTCATGAGCAAGAGGTACCCCATATGCCAGAAATGGCCAGGTAGGGGGATAAAAAAAAAAAAAAAAAAAAAAAAAAAGGTCATGAGCAAGAGGTACCCCATATGCCAGAAATGGCCAGGTAGGGGGATAAAAAAAAAAAAAAAAAAAAAAAAAAAAAAAAAAAAAAAAAAAAAAAAAAAAAAAAAAAAAAAAAGCTCATGAGCAAGAGTCTCGCAACAGTATTGCAGTTACCTATTAGCTTATTATTATAGATATATTACAGTAATTTTTTAGAGGTTTATCCTAACCTCACTAAGCCTGAATGAAAAAAAGTTTAATACAAATTGTATATTGGCTATACAAATTCTTTACATATCGTAATTAAAACTGTAACATATTACTAATTATTTTTCCCTATTTTTTTTTCTCGAAAAAATCGATTTTGTCACTAGTCTTGGTCTTGGTCTTGCAAAAGTTAGGCGATCGTGGTCTTGGTCTTGCAAAGTTTGAGTAAACAAAAATAGTAAAACCTACTAAAAAAATGGAAATCTTCTGACAATACATTTATGGAATATATTCTTCTTTTGATGTAGATCTAGATATCTAGAACGTATAATAAAAATATTCCAATTACATAAAATTATTTAAAAAGGTAAAACATAATTTTTGTAGAAATGAATAAATTATTGTTTAAATAGTTTATTAAATATTTGAGCAAGACATTGATATTGTTTGATTAAATACTTATTCAGCAAAAGCAGATTTCATGTTATATTTTTTATAATCTTTACGCTTCGACGAGACACGTGTCCACTAGTATTTTTTTTTTCAACGACAAAATCTTTCAACCGGACACAGTCGAATGATAGTATAGATCATCCTTCTAAGCAATAAAATTCGACAGAAGGTCTACCGGGAACCCACATATTAAAATGAAAAGGAGTACTTTAAACAAACGACTGAAATTAATGTACTCTCTTTTTTCTAAATCTTTAAAACTGTAAATTAAACAGAAACTGGATACATAAATATATCTACTTATACTGGAATAGACAGGTTAATGGTTATGCCAAAAAAAAGGCGCATTTAAAAAAAATAAAATATTTTCAATCTAAAATCTTAGGATTAATAACAGCTGACCATTGGTACGTAAAGAACAAAACTATACGTACGTACGTAAACAAACAATTATCAACTAACACATTAAATTACATAACAATAAATTGACGATATGGCTGAAATCACCGATAGAAACTCACGAAAAATGAGCTGAATGAAATTTCAAAAAAACATTTCATTCACATTTCAGTTCTATTATTTTCCATGCCTGAAATACCACCATAATCATAAGCACCACGATTACTTATTGTCACTTTTATCTGTGACAGGTCTGAATCGAATAATTTTGAAAAAAAAAATCAAACGAATTACATGAAACTATAGTAATAAGAAAAGACTTAGTGTACCAAAAGGCTCGATTCCGGTACTAAACATATTTCCATCTATCGAAAATTGTTCAACAATATCAGAATTACCGTTATCCTCCCACTTTCGCTTTGCCTTACCTCTCGGACGCTTACCAGTCGGGACTGCACATATTAATATTTTAGGAATCCCTTCATAACTAAGCTCAACAATTGTACACCCCATTTTACTTGCTGTGATTTAATTTAATTTACCTGTTACAGATGACGCAATTAGAAGGTCGTTATATCCAAACGTGTTAAAGAGTAAACTTTAACATTCCCGAGTCTAGCACCGTTGGTTCGAATACGGTCTGGTTGAATAGAAATTCATTTCGTGGCGGACCTATATAGTGTACCTCAACCTTCCCGCTCTATTTAGAATAGATTTGATTGTACTTATAGAAACACACTCCTATATAGCAGAGTAGAAAAACAAATTGATACGCAATTCGGCGTTGTGTAACTGTATGGATTCTTCGGTTTACTCATCCTTCTTCGGTTCAAATATTCTACGATAAGATTAACTATTAAAAACCTTGAGAAGTCGCTCATATCTTAAAATTAAACAATAATAATAATAAAAGGCTTAGCGAACCCGAATATTCGATGCCGACACCACCAATCGCTTATTACACACCTCCCTCCACCGTTCGCCGCCCAAACCCAGTCCCTTCAGATCGGCTTTAATGCAATCTACCTTCGCTTAGGTCTACCCCTCGGACGTTTAACATTCGGTACAGCAAATATTAACGTTTTAGGAATTCTCTTGTTAATAAGCCCAAAAATTTTACATGCCCATTTGATTCGCCTCGACGAAATTACCTCAATTACTCGGATACAGTTCACGCAATTCGGTGTTGTGTAACCGTCTGAACTCTTCGGTTAACTCATCCTTCTTCGGTCCGAATATTCTACTCAATACTTTATTTTCAAAAACCTTAAGACTCTGCTCATCCCTTGCTCAGGCCAAGTTTCGCATCCATAAAGAACTGTAGGTAAGATAATGGTTTTATAGATTCTAATTTTTAAGTTCCCGGGACAAGAGGCGCGAGCTAAGTGGTTTTGTCACAGAAAAATAACAAGCATTTCCCGCCTTCAGTCTAACCTTAATCTCTTCTTCAATTTCGTTTTTTCTAGTTATCGTAGACCCTAGATACTTAAACATCTCTACCTGTTCAAACATATTACCATCTATATTGTAAACAATATAGATTAAAATTAATTATTGTGGAACACTAATCAAAACCTATAGTGTTAATATTAAAGTTCTAAAATAAGTTAATTAATTATTAAAATTTTATGAAAATGATGAAATGTTGACTGTAAAACCTAAAGGGCTGAGATAGGGATAGAGAGCATTTTCAAGAGTTGGAATGTCATCTGCATTAGAATAAGGCACATTATCATAAAAAAGAAATTATCATCGCTAATCAGAGGAAATGGCATGCATATTTTTCAAGGATGTCCGTGATGTATCGCTGAGAAGCCCTCGATACATAATACTACATCTCTGACAACCTTGTAGATAACGTCATTATATTAGAAATTATAATTTGGTCATAATAGCAAACATTCTTTTTTGTTTGTGGGGCCTTTTTATATGTTATTATCATAACATGATAACGGGAGCTTGACTAGTCTGTTAAGGATTTGAACATTTTGTTATCGAACATACCAAGGAAGAGCTAGAAAGGCGGATCTGAAGACTGACAGAGCAAATAGGACGATATTGACGTAGAGAAAACACTCGACCTTAGAAAATATATTTAAAATATATATAAGCCAGAGATATGTGCTTATAAAGGGATGAAGTAAAATGGCTTGATCATGGTTAGTGAATTTTTACTTTCGCTTACCTATATATGAAATATATATTAAGGGCAGCATTGCGATCGCAAAAATTTTCCAATTGGAGTTTTCAACGGAAATACATGTTTTAAGGTCACCTGAGTCCAAATAACCAAGTCTGTGTGTGTGTGTGTGTGTGTGTGTGTGTGTGTGTGTGTGTGTGTGTGTGTGTGTGCCTGCCTGTCTGTCTGTGAGTGTGTAAGTATGTGTTGAACCTAGCTCAAAAAAGAAAAGTTGTATGAAAGTGGCATTGTATTTTTGAGGTTTTTTAAAAAGAATTTGATGTTACAGCAACTTTTATGTCAAAATCAGCAAACCGTACTTTATGCAATCGATTTAACACATTTTTACCTCCACTGGCTTTAGTACCAGTAAGGCGGTTGAGAGAGTAACGCAGGTTTCTCCTGGAGTCCAGCTTTTCTTTTCATAGTTGGAGGGTCAAGCCTTCCTCGGAGTTCCCTCGCCTGATTGTAAATAGTGTATATAGGTATGCATGTGTTTTGCTTTGTTTCAATTTTCTTATTTTTTGGTTATTTTATTTTATTTATTGTATATACTTTTTGATTATTATTTATTGTTATTTTGGTACTTGTTGGTCTACATGTTTATGTCTAATATTTAATGGAATCGATTACAGCTATATTTTTATTTATTTTTAACTTCACTTATTCACCCACACCTGTCATCAGCAATGACAATTAGCGGGTCTGCTGTCAGTAAGTGTACAGGTAGTGGCTTGATTGGCCTGATGGAGAGGAGTGCCCAGCGGCATCCCTTCCTGTCTTGATTTTAGCATATTTTTAAGCGAGAAAATCCCTCATCCAGCTCCTTTTGAGCCTCCTAAGTGTTTTTTCGGGCATGTTAAATGTAGCCATACTTTGTAAAAGTGTATTAGTATGTCCATGTAAGTTATTGTGAAATCGCTTGTAGTGTGTCCGTATGTGATCGTTAACTGTTGGAATTTGAAGGTCTTTATGTAATGTAATGTTTGTGACGTTCCATGGAGCTTTGGTTATGATTCTGAAAGTTTTAGACTGAAAAGTTTGTAGTTTTCGTATGTGGGTCGTTTTGGTTGTTGTAAATTTGTGAAGCGTAGGTCCATATGGGCTTAAGTAGATAATTGTAAGTGTTCAGTTTTTGTTTTAGGTTTAATTTTGAGCGTCTTGAGAGAAGTGAGTATAACAGTCGTATTCTGAGGTTTAAAGTTTTTCTTTTTGTGTTGATATGTGGGCACCACAACTACAAATAAAATCATTACAGCTATATAAATATTAAAGTTAGTATATATAAGGGTTCTTAAACAAATAAAAATACACACAATTAAATATAAATAAATATTAGCGTCTATAATTTTATTCCCTTTTGTTATTCTCTAGAGGATTTGAATAAAGTTAATATCTACCAATCTATATCCAAGGATTTTGTGATTCATTCTGACATGCACTCCTCCAACTGATGTTATTCTTATCACTTTTTCCAGCTCTAGGTTGAATTCGAACGATGATAGTATATCTCTCTTCCGCAAGCCAGTGAGGATTTTAAAAGCTTCTATTACTTCTCTATTATATAGTTGTATATTTATTAATATATATATATATATATATATAGAATAGAATAGAAGAATCAACTTTATTATGGGACAAAGTGCCTTGAGAATAACAATATTGTACATAAAAATTAACTTAATATCTGGCCAAAATGCATATTACAATAAAAAAAAAACAACTAGAAAAACTAAAAAATAAGTAATAACAGAAGGATTTACATAACTATACTGATATATTAAAGACATAATATGAGCAATAAGGTCCTAATACTGCAAAATAGTTGCTACAAACAATAAACTATGGAATTCTAAATGAAATTTGAAATGAATGACAAATTAATTTTGTTGTCATACCATTAATGAAAAAAATGTATTAATGAAAAAAATAAATAAAAAAAGAGTGTATAAATATTCACTTTAAATGATTTACATATGTACTTTAATATGTTCAAAGAATTCAATAATAGTATTGTAAACATTATACAAGTCCTATATAATCTAAATCCTAAGATGTAGATTAATAGATGAAAATAAAATAAAATATACATATAAACCAGCTTATATTCATATATAATATACATGATAAATGGCTACCCAGCGTCTGATTGAATTGTAAGGAGGAATTGGAATAAGAGGGTTTTAAATATGGATAGGGATGGTGCATGGCGGATTTTAAGTGGGATGGAATTCCAAAAGGTGGTGGACAATATAGGAGTGTTGAAATAAGGCCGATTTATGGAAAGGGGTATAAAGGTCAGAAGGAGAGGGAGTGGATAGATGACTTAAATTGAAGGAGATTGAATGCGTAGGACGGACGATGATTATAGATTATTTGGTAAAGGAATGTACCTAGGAAATATTGTCTTCTGAAGGAGGGAAAGAGCCATCCTAACTCGGCGTAGTAGTGGGAAACATGAGAACGTCTCGGGGTTCCATTGACAAATCGTACTAAGCCATTCGTTGTATTATACTCCTATTATATTGTATTATACTCATTTATTAAATTATATTTATTTTATTAATCTATAAATTTAATAAATTGTAATACATTGTTCTTTGCAGCTGCCCAGAGGCCAATAAGTCTGATAGAGTCGCATGTTGGGAGCAGCCGACAAGCCCATCTAAGAAGGGATCAAAGCTGAGGAGTTCTTTCTCGTCGCAGGAGAGATACTTCTGCCACAAAGAGTTTTTGTATGGGCATAAATATAGTAGTGAGTATTAGCGTGTAGCGTGTAGAGTTAGCTGCATTTATTATTTCAGTTTTCTTTTTTATCTGCTCGCTTATTTCCTTTCTTGTATTCTTAAAACGACAAGAAACCACTCGACTTTTCGGATGACTTCAGCACTTACTAGACAAACGCTCTAAACATCCATTTAATTACAAAAGACTCATATACATGACTATAATAAGACCTATTTGGACTTACGGAGTTGAGCTATGGGGCTCCATTAAACCATCGAATTCCATTCGTATCCAATCCTTACAATCCAAAATCCTTAGTAAAATCCTCAGTTCTTCCTACTTTGTTACAAATAAAACCATCCATAATGACCTTCTTATGTTTCAGATCTGGCCTAATAAAGATACCTATCCTTCCATAATAAACATATGAACCATCCGAATCCTCTCGTTGCCAATCTTGCTTCCTCTTTTATTCCTGATAACCCTCCGAGGCGTCTGAAAGAAGCCCCGTGATCTCCTAATGTAGACATGTCATTAGAGTGCTACCATTGGGTAGTTACTCAGCAAATGTTTTCACGTCATTATATCTATATGTTAAAATTTACTAGATGTATTTCTTTAATACAGTTGTAAATGTCATTGGGAAATAATAAAAAAAAAAAGAAGTATTTAAAATCTGTAGGTTATAATACTTATTTATTTTAAAATTTAATAATAATAAATACATAGGTGTGAAAGTGATTTATTTACTTTAATTTCATCTAGCTTTTATCTATTATTTCATTATTTTTTTGTACATAAGCATACCAATTTACTTATTTTATTTTTTTTATATTTCTTTTTCTTTATCATTGATATTAATTGTATGTACATATTGTGTGAATGAATCATGTAGCCTTAATATTAATGCCCCTCAATGTGGCAGAATGTATTAATATTCAATAAAGAAAGTTAAATTAAATATAGGATATCATAAAAAAAAATAAATAATTATATATAAACATTAGGAAAAAAGGCAGCTCAGTGAGTATGATACCATACCCTTATGCTCAAGGTCCCAGGTACAAGTCCGGTTTTGGCAGATAATTATTTATTCTCTTACATAAGTGACCCTGCACATAACGTGGATCAGCTCTGGAGGTCAGGAGACCCTCCTGGGGTCCACCCAGTTCCTATGACATGGGTACTCTCACTTAAATAATTAATCAAGGGGAAAAAGTGAGCGTGATCTCGACCCAGTCATCTCCTTTTTTGGATAAACTTAGATGGTTAAGTCAACGTGGACAGCGCAAGTACTGCGTTACTACCTTGCGGCATACTACATTGAGGCACTAGCGAAACTTTCATGTAAACAAGAATTTTGAAAAAAAAATAGAAATAAATAAAACTTAACTGCACAACGAGTGCAATAAACGAGAGTTCACAATGCACGAAAATTGAAAGGGAAATCATTAGAATATTATAGGAACGTTGCATCAAAATCGTTAGAGCCGTTTTTGAACTGCAGTCTATAGAAAAACACGTTTTTCATTTATTACATAGCCACTATTGGGCATTAAGCACCCAATTTGTGTCACAGGCAACAGTAGTCAAAACCTTACAAAATAAAAAAAATAAGCAACAAAATTAGTTCACTAGTTCCTGAAAAAATCTTGGCACAGACAGACAGACAGACATACAGAAACGTATAGATCCGTCGAAAACTGCATATCGGAAATTTGACCCGATCGCAATACTATCCTTACCTAGTATAGGTAGGAAAGTAAAATTGTAACTATCTACCTGTGAGAATTGTATACTTTTGTTTAACGGTGTCCTATTTTGGATTCCTAAACATAAAAAAGAACCATTTATTAAAATACTGGACTGTTTTAGTTTAAAGTATTTGGTACAATGCAAACTTTGTCAATTTAATCAAGTACTAAAAACTCTTAAATACGCATTTGCTTTCCACTTGGGTTGTAAGATGATTTGGCGACAAAAAAAAAAAAAAAAAAGAAAGGTGGCCTACAAAAATATTGGACGTGTCCTACACCCCGACAATTAAAAAAAACGAGGTGATATAGCCTTTTTTCTCGTCTTTGTGATGAAATTATCTTATGATCCAAGTCGAAAACAAATAGTTATTTACGATTTTTAGTACATAATAAAATAGATTAGGTATGACGATCTCCGAATTAAAACGCCTCCAATTCCAAGAGTTTTCGTAAATAAAATTGTATGCCACGATGGGATAAAGCTTTTCACAAACTTTCTCACTTTTTTGCTATCGATAAGGGTTCGAAACAACTCAATACTTGCCTGAGATTGCAATTTTTTTTTTATCCATGTTCGAAGAAAACTGTTTTGCTTTCAATCAATAAACTCCAGATAGGAAAATTTTATTTTTCTGAAAGAAGGTGACAAGAAATATATTAGGAGTCGACTGGAGAACTTCCGCAGCCTAGGTCGGAACGGAGGTGATGGAATTGGGTTGTCAGTCATGTATGCATCTCCATGCATTTCCAAGGGCTCTGATGAAGAATCCAGATATATATACATACACTCAGACACAAACGTGTGTGTGTATATATATATATAGATTATATAAATGTATCTATATATTAATATTTATAATATCCACTCAATGTTCCTTAAAGAATTTTAGTCTGAAGGCAATACATAAAAAAATTTGATGTATTTTCGCTAACGATAGTTCGATTATGGTTTTATTACTATTTATATTTTGTTTATACATTTTATTATTTTTATGACTCTAAACAAGCTAGTGAAAATACTATATTCAATTTCTTTTCCAAATAGAAATAGAAAATCAGACAAAGCATGTATACATACAATTTTCAACTCTAATGAATATGAACATAACCAATGATTTAGAAATTCTCACAAGACGTCAAAATCCAACACAGACTTTACAAAGTGCAAATTCAGGAAAATACCAGTAAATCTAGACAAATCACAACGCATCACTTTTACTCTTCGACGTGAAACATTCCCTCCTATTTATCTTGGCAATGTCGAAATTTCTAAAACAGATAAAATGCACTATCTTGGACTGACATTTGACTGAATGATTACATGGGGCCCACTTATAAAAAATATAAGAAAAGTTAAATCTCAGACTACGATAATTATACATAATTCTCTAAAGATGTTCAAAATTAAAACTAAAACAAAAACTGAACACTAAAATTTACCACGTACATACACCACATACGAAAACTACAAACTTTACAGTCATAAACCTTCAGGACCTTAACTAAAGCTCCATAGTACGTCATAAAGGTTTTATTGGTGCCGAAGTTTCAACCCAAACATGTCGGTCATCATAAGGGTGTTTCGAACACGGAAGGTATGCAATTACTTGAATACCTACAGTGCTCGAACCACGCCCTGGTGATGACCCACATATTTGGGTTGAAACGTCGGCACCAATAAAACCTTTATAATGACTGCGTTCTGAATACTTATCACACATACAGAATTCCTAAGTATAATTTTTTTTTTTTTTTTTAACTTTTATTATGATATTTACAACTGTATTAGTATGAATACATCAAGTAAATGCGTACAGAGAAATATTATCACATGAAACACGCTTGATTGGCACTAAGTATACATCTCAAAAAAATTGTTAACCATGTTATATGTTTATTAGAAAACTATAATTTTTTTGTGGCACTCTGTGCTTCGAATGGCAATTCTGCTGGAAAACTCTTTATTTATTTATAAACAGCAAATTCGGTTTTTCCATTGAAGTATAGAGAATCATTTTAATAAGGAAAAGTGGGAAAACTTTTTAATAATGAAAATAGAAATGTTAGGAGCACGGAAAAAGTCAATTTAATTTGTATCCTTTTAATTTCAAACAATTTCGGGAAAAACTACTCTCATAACATGAATGATTTCTGTTTAATTAATCAAGATTGGTACTACATCTCATACTGTATTCAATTCAATTTTTTCTCTTTACTACTAGCCATAGAAGAAACGTGGTTATAGTGAAAAATATATCTGTAGAGAAACAGAAACAGAGTTGAGATTTGTATTTCGCCGCTCGAATGACTCTCTAATCCAAATTTTCATTTCAATCGAAAAATAATTTTTTTTTCTACAAATTTGACCTAAAACACCCCGGAAAATTATGAAAATCACAAAAAGTGTGTTATTTCAATATGCTTCCACCTATTTACACGAAATTTTGCAGAGATATAGGATCTTATAAACTAAACGAAATGACATGAACTGTATTTTTTGTTAGGCATTTGTTTGTTTTTACATTTAATTTTTTTTAATTATTTAGAAAACCTCATGATTGGGGCATTACTTTGTCTTTATTACTTTTATTATCTGGACATTCAGCGTTTAAAAATAGGACCCATCCAAGCGATTTGTACAAATATTTTGGTATATTATGTTAAATGGAATATTGTAATCGACCAAGAAAAAATATTAATTCCTTCCTTACATAATACATAGGAACTACTTATTTCCATATCGTTTTGCTATTTCTTCACTAAACAAAATTTTCTGCAAATTATTTGCTCGAACAAACTAGTTATTTATAATTTATATTGAATAATTTGTATTATTAATTTCTTCGTGTTAATGTTTTATTTATTTATTTATTTTTACATTCCGCATCTACCCGATCGGGTAATTAGCGGCTTTAGATGTAATCAAATTAAGTGTACAAATTTAATGTCTTTTATAAATTCAAACACTTTTTGTTTCTTTTCTTCGTCATCTGAAAGTGCTTCAGATATGTTGGAAGGTATATTATGTTTTGTTTTGGTGTCAGAGTATAGTCTGCAAGTTGTTACAATGTGTTTCAGTGTAAGTGATGTGTTGCATGTTTTACAAAATGGTGGTTCCAGGCCTCTCATTATGTAGCCATGGGTAATGGCTGCATGTCCAATTCTAAGCCGAGTTAAAATTGTTTCTTCTTTCCTGTTCTTTCTGAAAGAGGTCGTCCACGGTTTGGTAGCTTTTTTGATTTCTTGCAATTTATTCGTAGATTGGTTCCACTTGAATTTCCATTTTTCATTTAGGATTTTTTTTGCATTCTAATCTCCAGTCAGCAGTGGTCGTTAAATTGATCATTGTGGTTCCATTAGTTTTTCTTCTTGCCAGGTTCGCAGCTCTGTCTGCAGCTTCGTTCCCAGATATGCCACAATGTGAGGGTGCCCATGCGAGGACGATGTCTCTGTCTCCTTCATTTCCCAGTTTTTGATTTTCCTGGAAATGGCATTGTCGGCTTTCCCTTCGGCAATGGCCATTAATGAGCTTAAAGAGTCTGTAACTATAAGGCCATTTTTTATGTTTTTTCCTGTTAGTAATAACAAAGCCTGATATATGGCGAATGGTTCACCTGTGAAGACGCTGTTTATTTGGGGCAAATTAAATTTGAGGCACTGGTCTTTCAGTATTACTACACATCCTACGTCACTATCTGTTTTTGACGCATCTGTATAAAGGGTTGTGTGTCCGAGGTATTTGTGTTTCATTTCTGTAAAAAGGTGTTTTTTGACGAATTGGTCGTCGTCAGTTTTTATTTTCTTAGCTAGAGACGTATCTGTTTTAATGTGAGACGTGTTAATGTTTTCACTTATATCATGTGGTCTAAAACAGACATATCTTAGTTTCTTTTTTTACTTATGCCTCTGTTTAATGGCTTCCTCCATCAGAGCCATACCTTTCAACCCAGTACCATTCCGATTTGGACGACGTGATATATCTTATGTACACAAAACGCGAGCATACACATAGGATATAGATCCGCTATATCTATATGTGCTCCAGAAATACATAGATTGCAATGTGGAGCCTGCCACTCAATAGTCCGTGGTACAGACCCCTTTGTATCGAATTATTAACAACTAGCTGGTACTTCGTAAATAGATTCATCTCATCGTAACCTACAACTATTTTATTTATGAAAACTCTTGGAATTGGAACGTTTTCAATCTGGAGGAGAGCAAACATTGCTTTATACCTGTATCGTAAGATAATTTGATCACAAAATCGAAAAAAAAGTTGCCTTCAAAAATATTGAGCCGTTTGGAGTGATCTACACCCCCAAAATTTCAAAATTACGAGGTTTTATAGGCACAAACGGTCCAATATTTTTGTAGTCCTCTTTTTTTTCCGATTTTGTGATCACATTATGTTACGATTCAAGTAGAAATGAAATGGGTATTTACGAGTTTTTAGTAACTAATTAAATAGACAAATTTTGCCTCCCTCTAGTTTTTGAAATTCTGAAATCCTAATTCTAAGAATTTTTGTAAATAAAATAGTTTAAAATAATTATTTTTTATAAAAAAATATATATATACTAAACCATTGTTGTACAAGCTCATGACCTATTCCTTTATATTAGAAGTGCTTTAAAGTCCACGTTACAAGCATTTATTACGGATTATTATTACTAATTTGGGCAAGCCATTTTCCATCAGTTATATATATAGTTTGGAATTTTTAGAATAATGACCTATTATATTTATATATTAGATCATTATTGGAAAAATTCCAAACTAGGCAGCCTTACGTTTCCTAAATCGCATACTGAAAAGAAGGTAAGACAACACGGAAAGGTTATAATAAAATAGCCGAAAAGGGAACAAACGACTAATACAAATTATGCCATATCCAATAAAAATTCATAAATATTAGTCCGTGGTCCAGACTCCTTTTTATCGAATTATTATCATCCGTCTGAAACTTCGTAAATAGTTTCATCTCATCGTAAACTACAACTATTTTTTTTTTTTTTTTTATTAAAACTCTTGAAATGGGGGCATTTTCAATCTGGAGGGGGCAAATTTTGTCTATTTAATTAGGTATTAAAACACGAAAATAACCATTTCCTTTCTATTTGGACCGTAAGGTAATTTGATCTCAAAATCGATTAAAAAAGTGGCCTACAAAAATATTGGGTAGTTTGTCCTATATAACCTGGTTATTTTGAAATTTTGGGGTTGTAGGTCACGCCAAACGCCTCAGTATTTTTGAAGGCCACTTTTTTCATCGATTTTGAGATCAAATTACCTTGCAATCCAAGTAGAAAGCAAATAGGTATTTACTAGTTTTTGGCACCTAATTTAAGTAGACAAAGTTTTCCCTCCACCTGATTGAAAACGCCCCAAATCCAAGAGTTTTCGTAAATAAAATAGTCTATGTTACGATGAAACTATTTACGAAGTTTTAGGCGGATGTTAACAGTTCGATAAAAAAGGGTCTGTACCACGGACTATATATTTTTTATAGATTTTATCATTTAAGATTTTTTAGTGAATAGTTGTTTGATTTTGTTTTTGAATTGTAAAATAATCATAGTTTCCTAAATAACCGTTTAATTTTCTTCAGGCTACCGAGAGCAACTGTGGGAGGGAAAACACGTGTTCCCGTTCAGTTTCACCCTTCCTGCGCAATTACCTCCTTCCTTCGCAGGACGCTACGGCTACGTGAGGTACTATTGCGAAGCGGCGCTTTTGCGATGGAGGTTGCGCGACAGCAGAAGAGCCTACTTCAGCGTCACCAACCTAGCGGACCTCAACCAAGAACCCAAAGCCGAAGTAAGTATATGCTTATTTCGATTATTTGTATTTTTTTTTATTACGTGAATAAATGTCTGTCGAGTGCTATATAAGAGTGCGAATACGATCTACTACTCTAAGGCACCAATGTGGTCCTACAGAGGATTCCGTGCCATTGAGGTATTCCAGCAAATGAGGAAGCGGATAGTCTCGCTAAGAAAGAAGCAGAATTGCCTCAAATAGCCCATCCAAAATCTTACAATTCAATCCGACGAATGGTGAGGATGATAGTGAAGGAAGAAACAAAATATATGCACAAATACAAGGTGGAAGTGAGACGTTATGGATGTTTGGTGGAAAACCCGATCCCAGCAGACCTACCAAGAAGAGATGCAGTAGCCACTGGCCACTGGTCACGACTATCTACAAAGTCATCTCCACAAGATAGGCGTGGCTGAGGATCCTGTAAATTATGTGAACAAGAAAAAAATGGATGCAGACCACCTAGACAGATGTCCTCCATTGACGGACATAAGAAATAATGTCGGATGGTCGAATGACCAATGACTACGTCATAAGAAAATAAAATTGATTATTTTTATTAAAATGTAAACTTGATCTTTGTCATCTAGTTTGACTATTATTTTTACTATTTATTAATTTTTCTCTTCTCCTCAGGTTGTGCTTCTCTTTCGGGTAGTTTATATTTTTGTCTTTATGTGTGCCAATATGAGATTATAGTTCCTTTTATTTATTTATTTTTTCCCATTACACCACAAGTATCCTAAGATTTTACTTTATCTTAGAGTCTGCATATTATTATATAAACCACTTTAGATATTATTACATTTTGTATTAAGTTAGTTTTGTATTAGATAGCCTATTGTTTATAAATTGTGTAGTTATGTATATATAAATATGTAATTTCTCTTATTTTTTTTTATTAAGTAATTTTGAGAAGATTTTATGTTCATTTGTATAAATATTTTATTTTTTATTTTTTACTGGTTACATACTTTTTAAATAATGTATATAATATAAACATTTTTATAAGTTAGTTTTTGGCCAGATTTGTACTTTACTTTGTATTAACTCATCATTGTTATTCTAAAGGGACTTAGTCCCAGAATAAAGTTAAATTTTCTAAAAAAAAAATTAACTTTAATATTTAAGAGGAAAATCGAGACCACGACGAGCTGGTTGAACTTCACTAGGAATAAACACAAAGTAATAACGGAAAATTACACGAAATCTAAATAACGCAAGTGTCGTTTCATAAACGTTTGGAATCATACAAACAATACAGTATAAAATGAATTTTTTAATAAAATCTAAAATTTTATAACCCCACAAAAATATTATCTTAACTCAATTCCCACTCCATATGACCAGTACCTTCCGCAGTTCACAGTCATTACATTGTTAACAAATATTTACATTAATTATAATTATTAAATGTAATTGATGCTAGGGAATTTCTATACTATTCTCCAAATTTCCTCTAAGTTTCCCGGCAGTTTTCAAACTAAAGGCGTGTCAAATAATACATTCCCTTATCTGAGAAAGCGGAAGTATTTTTTTAGAGTAGTGAATGGAATTTGGTAAAATTCACTCAAAATTGATCATCTATTTACTTATTCCTAACTTCTCTCTATATGTGAGCCTTATCGAATCGGTTTTAGAGATATAGACGTATCACTACATTTTCCACCAGTACTCATATTTTATCCAACTTTAAATTCATTCGAACCAGCCGTTTTTGAAATATTAGTATATATAAAAAAATACGTTTGCCTTCGTAAGCGGAAGTGCTGGATGGAATTTGTTAATATTAATATGAGACCAACTCGCACAATCTCTGAATATTTCATAAAAATCTGAAATACAGCCCCCGTTTAATATGCCCGTTTTATCGATTCGATTACAGACAGTCAATTTGAACTAAATTTGATCTTTGATGTCTGAAACGTGAAACGCGGTTGGAAATTTTCGATTCTGAGCATATTTTTTTTTAGCCTCTTGCAAGAATACAATATTTTCTTATCTACGATAGTGAGGAAATAAAAAAATATATTTCATTTTATGTTACAGCAAATTCATAAACTGGTACATATTAAAATTAATTTTTACAGTATACAATATACTAACCTATTTTTATAGTTATAATATTAAGACCATGTTAATCTGCAAATAAATTTATATATCTGCTAGGCTTTGGAGGTGGGACGATTTTTTTTCAGTTTAGCTTTAACATTAAGAATTTGGCTTGCAGTATTAGTGAGTTTGGTATTACTATACTGATAATCCAAACGGGTACTTTTCCGTTAAAAAGTCATTACTGAGCAGTTATTTGCATAATAATTAATTACTTACTTTCCACTCACGCTTGATTCTCTCGTTCTAAATGGATAAAGTAAATCAAAACGCGTGCTTTTCCGTTGAGGCCTAATCAAAGTTTCGTTTACGGTATTGCATTTAAAGTGTGAACATCAGATCTAGTGGAGCAACGCTTGTAAAGTAGTTTAAACAAAACAACAGAAACATAATGGAATTCAATGTTGCATAAATTCTGAAAATAACACTCAAAAGTTTCATTATATTTGAGTTGTCTAAGGGATGTCAGGATTACACTATTTTATTTATTGAAGTGAAAACTTATTTAGACTGAGATTAAATTAGTTTTTACCGTCAGAAATCTGATGTGTAACGCTCTAGTAAAGTCGGTTGGATTCGACTAATTGAAGTATTTTTGCATATGAATTAAAATATTTAAAAAACCAAAACTTGGACTTGCATATTATAAGCGAGAAAAATGTTCAGCATTTCATCCTCTTTATAATGGGCTATTATTTATAATTGATATTTCGCATTATTAATCTCGCTTTGTTGATGTTTTCACTTCTATTGTGTGTTCTAAAACGCAGAGCGTAGCTGTTTTTTTTTTAAACGGTATCCCATGTAAATAATACTTGATAAATTAAGTGAATCAATTAACTCGATGAGCTGAACCTGTTACAAACTCTGTAGTGCGTTGTAAATAAACAGTCTATTCTGGGATTAGAACGCCATCGTTGTTTTCCCAGTGGAGATGAAGGAAACCAGGTCTAAGCCAAGCCTATTAAAGTTAGCCTATTTAAAAGCTACGTCGATGATAATCATAGGGGCAGAGTACGGGGAGAGGGCGAGGGATTATCGTTCCCTCCCCAATAAAAATATTGAGAGAAGAGAATATCTTTTCAGATTGATAACAAACAAGATACATGAATAAATAAAATATGTAAACTAAAATCGATACGCTGACGATAGAACAATCTTGACAAGACATCAAAATTCAATATAGGCCTCAGAGACTCGACATCACTAAAACAAAGTCCACAACCAAAAACGACAAAATTCGACACGACCAAGATAATTCACTACATATCACTTTTACCCTTCGACGTGAAACTTGTCCTGTACTTTGACAATGTACAAATTCCTCAGACAGACAAAGATCAATATCTGAGACTGACATTTGACATGACGGGGCCCACATATTAAAAACAAAATATAAACCCTAAGACTGCGACTATTGTACTCACTCCTTGCAAGACTTTCGAAATTAAAATTTAGACAGAAATTGAATGCGTATACTTACCTACTTAAGCCCATTTGGACCTACGCTTCACAGATATACGGGATAGCCAAAAAGTCTCTACAGACTTATCAATCTAAAACTTTCAGGATTATCACCAAGGCTCCGTGGTACGTCAGTAACATTACTTTCCACACAGACTTACATATGCCAATAGTTAACGACCACACGTACACACTACAAGATGTTTCATAATAACTTACACCGACATAACAACTCAATGGTACGAGGCCTGGCCAGAACTAACATGCCCGATAACACCCATAGAAGGCTTAAAAGAAGTTGGATGAGGGATCCTCTCCACTAACTACAAATATTAAAATCACGACAGGATGGATGCCGCTGGGCAATCCTCTCCCTCACCCCTCTTCTAAGGCCTATTTCAAGAATATACACCTCGACATCACACTCGCTGGTTGTCGGAACTTCTGACAAGTGTCAGTAAAAAAAAATAAAGTTATTAAAGCCATTAAAGAGAGGATTAAATGCTGAACGATTCCCTCGCTTACAGTATGCATGTCCGATTTTTAATTTATGAGATATTCTAATCTATATGCAAGAATACTTTTATTCGACTCCAGCCGACTTTACCCGAGCGTTACACATTGGAGATCTGACGGATCAATGTAATTTACTCTCCACAAAAAAAAAAGAAAATGCAAAACGCGCCTGAAGAATTTTTCACTTCAAAATACCACCACATAAAATTGGTCTCCTTTTCATGTATCAAATGAATATTTTGTAATATAGAATCACCTTCTAAATTTTGGCAATCAATTACTGAGACACCCTCTATAATGCAAAATTTATTTATTATAATAATAAATTAATACAGTAACTGGGTTGAATATTGTTAAGATAATGACATGAAAGGCACGGGAAAGGACAGTGCCCAATAGTACCACTTGAAGCAGTCGGCAAAGTCCTCGGGTAAATCGCTGTCATATTAAAAATATTATTTTTCTTCAATGGATTAATACAACCAATAGTCAAACCAATTGTAAAGAAAGGACTAATAATGTTGACATTGTAGGTACTTGTTCATCTCATTTGTCAAAACTCATTGGTCCAGAGAGTGGTAAAAAGGGACCTATACTGTTAAATTATATGGACCCCAAAGCATAAAAGGGCCATCCAACAATGAAGCCGACAAAGGGTCGAACATTAACAAAGAACTGTCCTTAATTAATTGTTCTATTTATCATTCAGTCGCTATCAGGCACTCTCGTGTCTCTATTGTTCTTATATTAAGATTAAAAGTAGACCATTTAACATTAACTGCGCTTATAGTTGAAAGGTAAATCTATACAAAAACGTAAACTAATAACAGAGTATATATACGCACAGACCTTATTACCGTTATACTGAAATCCCGTTCCAATTCCGTAGGCCCAGATGGCATTCC